GAACTTCTATAACTATCTTGTGTCATATATATATGGATATATATATGGTTATTTGTATGTATGTACCAAGAGTTCCTGTAAAACCACAACAAATTCCTTGTGTTTGCGCACACTTAAGTGGTGAATAAAGCTAATTCTGATTCTGATTCTAATAAGAAAGCACCCCTACAACAACTTCTGAAAGTGAACGGTATAGTGTTTTATTCGAGCATTACATAAAAATGTCATTTTAACATTAGTGTAATCATTATAACATGAGTTTAGGAACTGAATAATAAAAAGGAAAAATAAAACACTGCTTAGTATTTACTCTTTGACTTCAATATGCACTGATTCTTATTTAAGCTACAAAAGTTATTTAGGTAAGAGCAGTGAGTGATTTTCTCTTTGTCTTTTGTTCATGGCCCCAGATATTGCAAGCTGTAGTGATATGCATATTGTGATATGTACATTTGCAATATTTCGATAATTTTGATATATTGCACAGCCCTAGTAGGTACTTCTTTTCAATAAGTACTTACACTGTGACTGTTAAAAAAGTATGTTCTATATAGTATGAATGTGTGTAGTATGTAATCCGGATGTACTACATTTGTCCTTGTCATGAATCTTGTAACAAGTCAACTGGGTACTTTTTGCCTACTGTTTTACAAATACTGTGAATTAAATGTGAATTCTCTACTACTCTTTTCAAATACTGTATTTCACATATTATATAGTAGGGAAGTGTGCATATTGGGATGCAGCCTATATATGAGAGAGAGCGAGAGAGAGAGGACCATTTGGGATGAACTGATTTACTAGAAAAATCAATTAACTATGAAAATAGCTTATGCTACTGAAAAATGCAGTTAAGTTAGCGATCCCACTAACTCCTCAGCACGGACACAAACAGAACCATGAAAGAAAATGGTGTACGCTACATTTTAAATACAGACATGTTATAAATTCAGTCTGTGCTACAGTAAGGGTGTAAAATACAAGGCTTATTATTATATAAACATGACATGGCAGTTTTATAGTTCAATATTATTTTCATTTTCCACATTTTTTGTTAAGGCTTGGCTTACCATTCCTTCACTATAACCATGACATCGATGAAAGGTAACAGTTTAAACAAAGAATGTGTCAGAATCCTCTGGCACTCACTAATGTGCTTTCTTTATCTGCCTTTTAACCTATTAAAATGTTTTATAATATTATTAACACAAAACACTTCCACCTAATTTTGTTAATGAGGTGGTTATGTGTTTTTGTGATTATGAACAATCAGTCTCTCTTAACTGCTTCTAACAATTACATAACCTCACCACCAGCACTGAAACTGATGTTATCATTAATGAACATAAAAATGTCTTTCTTTCCCTATCTGTCAGATTCTCTGAGAGACAGAGCCCACGGCTGAGTAAGGTGTTGCGAATTCTTGCCTTTGCCTACCCTTACCTGTTTGACAACATTCCTCTCTTCTACAGGGTAAGTTTCAGCATACTCAACGCAATGCCCAGGCTGTTCAGACAAAGATCTGATTGGTTAAATAACCTAATGTCCAAATGAATGAAGCTGGTAATTCTGTGATTTGTATTGGAAATGACTGTTTGATCTATTTATCTTGTTGTATTTGTTTACCACTGGGGACACATTTCTTAAATTTTAGAAGATTTTTTTCTAGGTTAAAGTAGAGTTTTTTGTCCCCCTGGAAAACCCACTTCAGTGCATTGTTTTAAAAAAAATGTTTATACATGTTGCTTGAGCATATGAATACACTACATGGCGTCACCTGTAATTTTTTTCTGTTGCCTCTTTCTAGTTATTTCTGTGTGTAGGTGAGGGTTGCACTGATAATGAAGCAAACTCCATTCATGTTCACCATACTCTGTTTGCTTTTCTCACCGGCTTCCTGTTTGCAACACACTTGCCTGAGAGACTGGCACCTGGACGCTTTGATTACATAGGTAAGTAACGACCACTCACATAGATATGAAATATTTATAAATATTAGATATTTTACAGTGTCTGTTTCTAGCTGTGCATTTTCACGATCTCCTCTAAGAAGACCTAATGGGTGTGAACTAGTTCATTACAGAGGGTTTTCAGAATACAGACAGTATCTGAATTATAATAGGTGTGAAATAAAGAAGTCCAGAATCAAAAATCTCAAAGAAATTCAGAAACCACACTTAAGAAAATACATCTTTAAAACAGGACCACAGGGATTTCTTCAGGAAATCTTCATTCAGTGTTCTCAAGTGAATGGCTCTCTTCTGACCCCTACAGGCCACAGCCATCAACTGTTTCACGTGTGTGCAATAATTGGGACACATTTCCAAATGAAGGCCATCGAATCTGACATGGTGCTGAGACAGTCACAGCTGCTGGTCACTGCTCCTCCTATCACATTTAATAATACAGTTGGATCATCTTTGGTCTGTGTCTGCATCAGTCTGGGGATCATATGTCTTTATAGTCTACCTCTGCTGTACGGCTCCTCAGAAACACACCCAGCATCAGCTAAAGGAAAGAAATGCAAGCACTAAAAGCTCCTTGAGACAGGGGGAATAATTGCAGTCTTGCACAAGTTACTAACGTTATTATGAAAATACGAAAATATATATATATAGGACATTCTTACTGGATATTACATTATAAAAAAAATCCCCTAGAGGGGTTTGTAAGTAATGCAAAGAGTAATGAATGTGTTACTGCATGAATTCTGCTTCTCAGGGAAGATCAAAAAAGGCACTGAATCTCAGGACAATGTAAGTCAGTGGGAAGGTGTGTAAAAGTGGTAATTTATGGTGTATAGAAACACATTTATTAAATGAATGACGCATCACAATTAGGTTTACAGTATCAAACCTGAACAGGTAAATGTGGAATAAATACAGAAACACCCTAATTTACATAACCGACATACTTTAATACATAGAAGCAAATTGGTGATCATTCTGTCCATCCAACATTGTCCATCCAATTTCCATACGCTACAAATTAGAGTATGCGTTTGGAATTAACTAATTCACTTGAATTAATCAGATGCACTTGAATGAATTACACTTTCCTACGCTACCTACTGTATGAGAGGACCATTTGGGATAAACCAATTCACTAGAATGAATCTGACTTTTCTACAATAGGAATGAGAGGGGGGACCTTTTATGTGAGTATTTTCTTTTCAATTTTCAGACATTTGGTCATAATCTCAGGACATAAGGATACTTCACTCAAAAATGAAAATGTGCTGTTAATTTACTCACCCCTAAGCCATCCAACACGTTGGTGACCTTTTTTCTTCAGATAGCCTAAGACTATGGATTACATGTAATAATTTTGTAAATAACATTCAGTTTCTTGCACAAGCCGATTGTTTTGCTTCATAAGATTTGTGATGCCTGTATATGCTTTTTTTGACTCTCAAGTGATAAATCTCCAAGGACCATGGTTTCAGCTAAAAATCTTCTTTACTGTTCAACTGAAGAAAAAAAAAGTCAACTACATCATGGATGGTCTAAGGTTGAATAAATCAACAGCAGATTTTTGGGTGGTTTATCTCTTTAACATATGTCATTACATGTGTGCACAGTCTGCCAAAGTCTACAGTGACAGCATTTGTATATTCTACTTATTTATTTTCTGTGAAACTGCACCACATTTTTCCTGTGGTATCTTTTCCTGTGGTATAGAGTGTGGGAGGTATTGCATATTTTCATAACATCAGGTCCCACCTTGGTCGTGTAACAAAAAATGAAACTATTTATTGTTTGCAGGATTCTTTATAATAAAATCTTACGCCAAAATAAAATATTAGGCCACAGCCATATCACCCTGCAGCCCAAGACTGGTTACCCACTGAAGCTAAGCAGGGTTGAGCCTGGTCAGTACCTGGATGGGAGACCTCCTGGGAAAACTAGGTTGCTGCTGGAAGAGGTGTTTGTGAGGACAGCAGGGGGTGCTCACCCTGTGGTCTGTGTGGGTCCTAACACCCCAGTATAGTGACGGGGACACTATACTGTAAAAAAAAAAAAACACCGTCCTTCGGATGAGACGTTAAACCGAGGTCCTGACTCTCTGGTCACTAAAAATCCCATGGCACTTTTTGTAAAGAGTAGGGGTGTAACCCCGGTGTCCTGGCCAAATTCCCTCCACTGGCCCTTGTCTGTCATGACCTCCTAATAATCCCCATCCACTGAATTGGCTCTATCTCTCTCTCTCTCTCCTTTCCGCCTGTAGCTGGTGTGTGGTGAGCGCACTGGCGCCGTTGTCCTGTGGCTGCCGTCGCATCATCAAAGTGGATGCTGCACACTGGTGGTGGTTGAGGAGAGACCCCCCCACATGATTGTAAAGCACTTTGGGTGTACAGCAATACACAAGAAAGCGCTATATAAATGCCTCATTCATTCATTCATTCATTCCTTCATTCATTCATTCATTACATTTTTTTTCAGCCTAGACCTGTTTTATTTCTTATTGAGACCTATAGTTACCTTTATCAGTGTGACTGCAAGAGAGGTTTATATTGATATTCTATATACACTGCCCTCTACAGCCTGGTGGAAGCAGGACACGTTAGAAAAGTCTCAAACTTTGCAATAGCCTACTGTGATTGAGGGATTTAAGACATTAAGTGTAACAATGTCTAGCCAGTTTCTATATACTTCTACTCAAACCTGAAATACTGTCGAAATTAAATTTATGTCTGGCAGAAGGGTGGTGGCAACTACTTGTATTGGAATTATTTGTTTATCAATAGGGACACAATGAACAACCTTTACTTCCAATATATTTACATTTACATTTAGTCATTTAGCAGATGCTTTTATCCAAAGCGACTTACAAATGAGGACAATGGAAGCAATCAAAATCAACAAAAGAGCAATGATATACAAGTGCTATAACAAGTCTCAGTTAGCTTAATGCAGTACACGTAGCAAAGGTTTTTAAAATAATATAATAAATAAAAAGAAAACGAATAGAGCAAGCTAGTGTTAGAGGTCTTTTTTGCTTTTGTTAATTGTATAATAAATGAAAAGAAAACCGATAGAATACAAAAAGATTAGAAAGC